GCAAAAGCTTGAACCTCGGACGAGGAGACAAGTAGTAAGCCTGCCTACGCCCGGGCAGGGGACCCGCTTGCTACTTGAGCATAAGAATGGCGGAAAAGATTTCCAAGTCCAATGGAAGGCAGTGTTCGCAACAAAGGGAGATGAACAAGGTTACGAATGGAGTTCGGGTGGAGCTGATCGATAGTAACGCCGAAGTGATTCATGACCTCGACGATAAGAGGGTGGAAAGGAAGGCGTAACCCGACAACAAGCTGCTCCCAGAATATCACGATCTCGTCCGAACCGTGCTCCCAAGGGAAGTCGCCCGAGGGTAAAATGTAAGTATATTCCCCGGGCAGGTTATACTGAGCGATAAGGGACCAAAGTCTCTCGGACGTCATAGTGGAAGGCCCGAACTTATCTGGCACCCGACCTCGATGGGAGGTGGATGCCAAGCTACCCGAGGTGACTCAGCCTACGGGCTCGAACTCGAGCTCTTCCTCGAGCTCTACTTCGGGCCCCGCCTCGGACTCACTAAGGTTGTCAGGGGCGGTAGCTCGGTTTGTAGAACCAGCATCTGACCCCCCCAGAAGACTATGTAAACTACCCGAGCTAGACATTGAATCAAAAAGAAGGCTGAGGACTCACCGGGGAAAAAGCTACCGGACTACGAAGAATGACGCAAGCTGACAGCCTTGGACGCGAGCTCAAGGAATGAATGCTAAAGAATGGCGAAGGAAAGTGACCAGGGCCCCCCCACTATTTATAACCACTGTACTCGCGCGTCAACGACCAAGATCAAAACCATCCAACGACTCCCCGCAAAACCGGCTGTGCGGCCCCCGAGGAGAAGCCATTTTAGTGCGCATTTTCGACGTTCAAAAATTTAAAATCATTTGGCATCCACGCTTGAGCTGCACGCAACCCGGGATTGACCCCTAGTCGAACCAAGCTGACCCTGATTGAGCCAAAAACACAAGCAGGTCAGACCGGAGAAGCTCCAAACCAAGGCCAAAGCGTTACGAGGCAAATTCACCCGTCATCCCATGAACTCCCCACGCCAGGTCAGGACCTTGGGCATGGGGAGTGGGGGGCAATTGATGGAGGGAGATTTGGCCCGACCCCTTGGCCACGCAACACGTGGAAGCAACCGAGAGTGAGCTGGCAGAAGTGTCACATCGGCACGGCAGCGGACCCACAACCCGAGCTCTGAGAAAAGGAGTCCCGAGCTCCCCCAAAAAAGGAACCCACGACCCGAGCTCCCCAAGGAAGAATCCGAGCTCTCCCTTGGAGGTCCTGCGCCTTACAAGGAGCGCAAAGGGCAAAAACCCGAGCTGACCCACCCCGGGGCAGTTCGGGCCACACTTCTATCCGAATTCAAGACTTCACCTCGCACACCACTTTGGCTCCAAGTCGCCTGACTGAACAACCGTACCTGACGCCCAGGAAGCCCGTATACGGAGGCGGCGCGCCTGACTGATTAGTGGTCCGACACATGACAGCCGCCCTCCAACGGCCACCTGCCAC